GAGTGTGTCGATGACATCAGAGGGTGCAGTCTTTAGTGTGTGTGTGTGTGTGTGTGTGTGTGTGTGTGTGTGCGCGCGTGTCTGTCTTTGTGAGAAAAAGACTGATGGACACAAGTGGTACAACAAACGGATATAAAGTTCACTGTTAAATATCCAGCTTACTGTGCCACACACGTGTGTGTGTGTGTGTGTGTGTGTGTGTGTGTGTGTGTGTGTGTGTGTGTGTGTGTGTGGCGACTGTGGCTAAGTGGATAGCAGGGCCGTCCTTCAATCAGAGGGTCGGCGGTTCGATCTCCGGCTCTGCTAGTCGCGTGCCGATGTGTCCTTGAGCAAGACACTTAACCCCAAAATTGCTCCCGTAGAAATGTGATAGAATCTGAATTGTAAGTCGCTTTGGATAAAAGCGTCTGCTAAATGACTGTAATGTAATGTGTGTGTGTGTGTGTTCGGGGGCGGATCATGTTGTCAGAGTCCATAAGAAACAACACGGCCTTATTAAACACGGACACTCAGTAAAGATTGATTTCGTTTGGCCGTCCGTGTTTTTAACTGGAGGGTTATGCGACTGTGACAGTGTGCGTGGGCGATTAGACACACGGCCAGGAGGCAGGAGCTGTGACTGACTGATGGTCGCTAGTGGCAGGAGGCTGTGCCGCCGGGGTGGGGGGGGGGGTAGATGTACTCGTACCCTCTCGGGGATTTCTCCCAATGGTTGAAGGAGGGCAGATTTAACCGAGACATTCCCTCTGCGGTCTGACGGGGCTCAGAGGACCGAGGTGGGGAATCTGTTCCTCCCCCTGCAGAGAGGCAGGCAGACAGAGTGTGAAGCCATCGATGAAACTCACCCGTTGGCTTCTCCAGATGTGTGTCTTGGTACAAGTCGCTGGCGGCAAGCTGCTCTGCCAGGGCACGCCAGCGGCTCTCAAGTGAAGAAGTTTGGGGGCTGCTGTTGTTGAAGGTTTAGCCTAAAGCTTCCTTAGCTTCTCTTAGTCACTGCCTCCTCCGCTCCTCTGCCATCCAGTCCTTCCTCCTCTCTCTATATAACTTGTCTTTCTTTTCCTACTTTAAATCAAGCGCAGAGTCTGAGCTCTTTCACTCTCAGAAGAACTTCCTTATTGGGACATGAATATATGTTATTATTGAGCTGATGGTTGAGAGAATAATGATGTTTTGTTGAGTCTGGGAACAGCAATGGATGCACTGACACCTCTCCTGATGTCTATTCCAGATCCAATACCACTGATCTGTTTCTCTCTTTTTGATGGAACATGAAGCCAGACTCTTGTGGTGCTAAAAGTCCAGGCCCAACTGACTGAACTAATGTAACTGATAGGGAAACACTGACTATTTAAGATCACATTGACAAAGACACTGTATTGAATGTGGATCAGTCACATCATGTCTGATACCAGATCCACCAAAAGGTCGGTACGGTTACAGTCTACGGCTCCAGCCCATTGGATCCCTGAATCCCCTCAATGGTGCAGCACAGTGGTGCAGTAACTGTGATGCCTCACAGTTCAAGTCTGAATCCACAGGAACAGTGTTGATCCTTTATTTCACTGTCTTCTTCTTGTGGTGGTTCATTTTAACGCTGAGATCTGTAGCTCCAGCTTCTATCGTTATCTTTTTCACTGCTGACTCAGTCCGCCATCCCGAATATACCCTTCAAACACACATTGTCGACCCGTCTGTCCGCTTCTCTCCGAAATAGATTGTTAATTTTCCAGGGAATTAGATGGATTTATTCAGGGAGTGCAGTTAGTGACAGTGTGACTTCACGGTAGCCGTGACGGCTTAACGGCGTAGCAGCAGGGGGCGGGGCTTAGCAAAGGGTCAGTTGAGTCTGATTATCATGCGATGTGTGTCTCCTCGTGTGCTTTGGGTTTTCTTCTGAAAGTCAAAAGACATGCAAGTCAACAAGAACACTGGCGCCCTGTTCAAGGTGCACAGGATAAGCGGGGATAGATGATGGACGGATTACAGTTCCAATGTCCCATATGTTTTGCAAACGTGTGTGTAAACATCTGCATTGGCTCCTGACATGATTTGTGTCAGTAGAAAATTTGTCATTTTCTCTGTTTCCTCTTCATCCATCTAACTGTCTCTGTGTGTCTGACTGCATCAGAGGCGCAGTTTGAAAAGCCTGTAGAACGTGTGTGTGTGTGTGTGTGTGTGTGTTTACGTGCAACAGCATCGTGCGACACCATGATTAAGTGTTTTGAATAATTGATGATTGCATCCCTAATTAAGTCTGTCTCCTGCTTCGGCTCTATTTTTACGCACCAGTATCCTCCTCACTTCTCTTCCACTCCACAGATGGAGCGGATCCATCCCTCCACTTTAGGCCCAGCTGGGGGGGGGGGGGGGGTCCAGCGGTGATCTAAATCATGTTGAGTGGGCATTTTTAACGGGCTGCAGCTCAGTGGTGGTGGTTTGGTTTTCCAGAGCAAATAGCGACCTCTCGCTTTCGAGCTGCTGGGGACACGCTGGTTGCAACCAGCCAAAACCGTAAATGTCAAATATGTTGTTGTGAAGCTGAGAGGGCGAGCATGGCTGCTTTCTCAACTATAATTAAAAACCTCCAATCCTCTCCTTTATTGTCAACCCCAGTAGACTTAAGTCACTCACTGCTGATGCATCAAATTAAATAAGTAAAGATGCCGTGAAAATAAATAAAAATGGTGTTTATTTGTATCTGAAGCACAGACTGTATCTAAGAAGTGGACGTAGTCGTCGTGACGTCACCCATTGGTTTGTGGACTGATGTTTTAAAGCCTCGAGTTTGGCATTTTGGCCGTTGCCATCTTGGTTTTGGACTGTCACCGTGTTGTTTTTTTGCAACCAGAAGTGACTCAAGAGGGTGGAGGTAACGATTGACAAGACATTTGTTAGGTGACCAAAATATTACAATGAACTGAAAACACAGTACTCGGCTTTATGGTCTGTTTTACTCTAAATGGGACTATCCATCCAATTATCTGTAAGCGCTTATCCTGTTCAGGTTCGTGAGGGGGCTGGAGCCAAGGAGGCGGACTACACCCTGGACAGTTTGTGAGGCCATAACATGGCTGACATGTAGAGACAGACAACCACTCCCAGCTACGGGCAATTTAGAGTCATCAATAAGCTGCATGTCTTTAGACTGTGGGAGGAAGCCGGAGAACCCGGAGAAAACCCACGCTGACACAGGGAGAACATGCAAAACTCCACACAGAAGGGCCGTATACCCGGGGCCCCTCTTCCTGTGAGAAAACAGTGCTAGCCACCACACCACCGTGCAGCTGAATGGACCATAATGTACTAAATGAACATCATGCTGTATTGAAGAAGACTTGAAACTAGAGATTGAGACCATAAACTCATGTTTACAATGTTTACTGAGGTAATAAATCAAGAGAGAAGTAGAGTCATTTTCTCATAGACTTCTATACAACCAGAGGAGTCGCCCCCTGGTGGACACTAGAGAGAATGCACGTTCAAGGCACTTCAGCATTGGCTTCACTAGTCAGACCCGGAGGTTGCCGCCTGGTCTGAAGGGTCAGGGTGAAGCGTGCTCAGAGGGTCTAGTGTGTGTGTTTGTGCTGTACTACTTGCTCCACTTCCACATGTTGCTGAGATTGAGGAACGAGGAATAACTTGCAGCCGGATGTGTGAAGCTGTTCTGACACTGATGCATCTCTGGAGACTAACAGCAGAACGGCTGCAGCAGAGCTGAATAAAAGCATGAATTGCTAAATTGTCGGTCGCACCCTAAATTCAATGCCGGGAGTTCAGCAAATTTGTTTTCTGTGTGCTAACGGGGAAGACGAGGATAATCCAGACTGATGTAGCGGAATAGCGGGAGTGAGTGGGATTGAAGGAAACAACGAGGAGATCAGACAGACGGAAAGGTGGAATCAGAGTGTGGGTTTGTTAATACAGGCATATCCACAGTCTGTCAGACAGCAAAGCCACCGCTTCCACTCTGCATGAAGAAACAAGACAGCCTCATACACATTGTTGAGCACAACCAATTTACATTTGAGCACATTAACAAGGCAGAGGAAACACACACACACACACAGGGAGGAGGAGGAGGAGGTGCAGGGAGAACGAGGTTCGTTTTCATCTATTTCCCCTTAAAACATGAGAAAGGAGGAATTCCCCAAAGAGAGCGCAGCGCTTTGATATCTACAGCCCCGTGTCTGTAAATAGGTTAGCAGAAGACGAGGCGCGCGTTACGGTGTGTGTGCGTGCGTGCAAGTTTTATTGTGTTTAATTTGCGATCTGCACGTGCATGCGAATCTGTCATCTTGCGGGGTTATCCTATTTCTGGCAGGAGACGGTGGGGAGGAAAGTGGTTTTGTGTGTGTGTGTGTGTGTGTGTGTGTGTGTGTGTGTTTACCTTTCTCCCGATGAGGCTCTCTGCTGAAAGGTTTCCTGCTAGTCATCCAGCGAGGCAGGCGGCCATGCGGAGTTACCTGGAGCAGGGGGCTGCTGTGCTGTGCTGGTGGCCTGGCTGACTGCCTGCTGAACGAGCTGCACTGCTTGTTCTTGTGGGCCTCCAGGCCTGCTGCAATGGCTGGTGCTTCATCCGCTAGACAGCTGCAGTAACGTTGCTTTTATGCGGTACAGATGTAACCACTGTTGAAGGGACTGCTTTGTTATTTCTTGCTTCAACCTCAAGAGGGATTGTCTGAAATCTAGCGCTGCTAATGTGATGTTGTGGGGGGGTGTAATGGCTGTTTAGATCAGTGTCACGAAGGCCCCTGTTACCCCAGGCCCAGAATAATCACGCTGTAGCTGCACTGTGGTGATGTGAGCTGTGATCATGCAGCATCTGGACAGCGGCCTCTCAGCAGGCGATCGCTGCAGTGACCAGTGATGTCGTGCCAAACAGTGAGGGTCTCCACACTCGATGCAACGTGTGGCGGTGCAACGCATCATACAGCTCACGGATCGGATCACAGATCAGCACACACACACAAAGGAGCAAATATAACTTTCAGAGATCCCTGATCACGTTTTTGCTGCTGATACTAATTTCCGATCATTGATGATCCATATTGGCAGATACAGATCGTTTTGTTGTTTGATAACACAGATGGTCGACAAGCATCCAGACTATTTCTTTTTGCCACCGTCCCAACCATCATTTCAACCGCTCTGAAGTCTGTGAACCATCAGCAATTCTAAATGTTATCTTCTACTGACGTAGAAGAATGACGATTAATTATCTGTCGATCAACTAATCGATGGTAATAACGTGTCAAATCTTCGGCAAAACATGTTAGAGTTCATGATAAACAAATGACTGATTAATCACTGATTAATCAGAATAATTAGATAAATGAAATGTGTTTCCAGCTGTCAGTTCACTGTCACTACCATGTAATATGATCCACCAGATGTTTCTCAAGTTAACGTGAACCGACTGTGTCGGCTTTGAAGAGAGCTCTCTGACAGCAAGGTGAAGAGGTGAAGACATTCTGAATATAGCGTTCACTTAATAGGAGTCTAACATACGTCCACAGCAGAACATTACTTTGCTCCCGTGCTGGTTCTCCTGTCTTTCTATCAACTCATCTACTGTAGTAGAACCCTGACTGTGGAGGAGAACCTACAGAACATCCTGTCTATCCCTTTAACATCGTCCTGCCCTCGTAGATCTTATTGTGACTGTGAAGTGAAGTGCTGAAGTATCCGGGTGTGACAGTGAACTTTAACCCATAGCTCAGGTCTTTTCTTTCTTTGTCATATTACGTCTCTCTCTCTCTCTCTCTCTCTCTCTCTCTCTCTCTCTCTCTCTCTCGCTCTATTAACTCATTGGTTAAAGTTGATCTTTCACCCTTCCTGCCTTCCTGCCATTCTTTTCTGTTACGCTCCGTTTCATTCTCCACCGTCCTTCGTCTCTTCTTGAGTTGACGACTGCAGTCGGGTGATTTTTTACATACGACAGATCATAAAACTGGTAGGTTCTCAATATTTCATTTAGTAAACCACTGTTTTTTTCACAGAGAGAATGTGCTTTGATTAACGGTTATTATTTTGCTCTCTGGTTCGCTGACATTTCAATGTGCATTTAACCATCTCGGTGCCTGAAGCGAATGAGCGTCTGATTGTGTCTGATAGTTAATGTAGTCCAAAGAAAGATTGTTCATACCGTTCAGACATCTGAACCATGACGCTCTGTAATACGGATAACCTTTCCAATATACCCTAAGTCCTGGTTATTCATCGACCAGCACACAGCTCGCAGGAGGAACTGATAACGTGTCGGGATGCAAAGGTGGCCTTGGTGAGGGAGGGGTGAAGGGGTGAGGGAGGGGTGAAGGAGGGAGGGAGGGGGGGGCAGAAGACGGACAGAGCACAGGTAGAGTCGAGGTGGACTCTGTGATTATTCATTATTGAGATGGCAGGAGAGCTGAATGAGTGGAGTCGCTAATCTAACTCTGAGCCTGATGGACAGAACACAATTACCCAGAGAGTGGGAGGTGTGGGAGAGAGAGGGGGGGGGTTCTCTTTCTCTCTTTCTTCCTTTCTTTTTTCGCCTGGCAGACTTTACTGTAGTTGCAGATGATTTCTGGGCATTAAGCTCCTGTTGGCAGCATCCTGTTTATCCAGTCACACACACATCTACACACACACACACACACACAGAGCCAGATCGCCCGTTGGCAGCGCCCCATTTACGGACGTCCAATTTACCACTCGCTCCCCTTTTCTCCTCCAGTCTGGTGTTGCTTCAGATTTGAGCCTAGACGCAGACGCGCTGAGCCGCGCTCGCGTCTGCTTCGCTGCTACTTTTAGCTTGCGCGCCGCTTCCAGGTCCAACCGCCACTCTGGCGTTCACGAAGGCCTTTGATGGCGCTGCTCTTTCTTTCATCTCGTCTATATGTGTGTGTGTGTGTGTGTGTGTGTGTGTGTTTGTGTGCGAGGCGGGAATTTGTACAGCTTTTTTGTTTTTTTGGAAGGAATGAGCTTGTTCTGCCCTTCGGGGACTGTAGCTCAGATGTAGAGCTCTTCCCCCCCCGACACTCCGAAGACACGACCATATGTCTGGAGCCTTCGCAGAGATCTGGAGAGCAGTGCTGCTGCACATTGTTCATCTTCAGCCTCTTCAGAGTCTCTTTCCTCGCTCGTTCTCACCAGAAGACCGGCGGCTGTTTTGTCCTTGAGGTTTCTTTAGTAGATTAAGTTGTTTTTTTATGTTTCTTTCACGCTGAATCTTTGGCGAACGCAAGATTCAAAGTGGTGCTTTTGTGCGATTCTTTGAGGAGACATCGGTTAGTCGACAAAATCGCAGGTGTTAGTTGACTAAAGCGTGGTTTATACTCGCCGTAGTGAAGCCGGTGCCAAGTGCGCGCGGCGGAAAATGGCGTAATCCCGGCCTGAGCTTCATGGGCGAAGAGGTCGCGGCACTCGGTCGTGCACCTCCGATTATTTGTAACAAGGCACGCGTGCGCTGATAAAAGCACTATTTACATCGTGAGTATATAGTTTATCCGCCACATCAGATTGTTACAGGATATTCAACCTTAGTTTCTTTGTAATACTTGCAATAAAGTAGACCATGAATAAGAGATGAGTTTACAGTTCATTACAATCCCTCCTCGGTTGGTTTACGGTTACACTCGTTGTCTTCTTGCTTCTTCGGAGCTCATTTTGTTTTTTTGTCTGGCGTTTCAGAGAATAATGCAAAGAACAGCGCGTCGAGTATAAACACTTTTGAACGTACTCGTAGCAGCCCTACCGCTCTGTGTTGCCAACTCCTCAGTAAGGAAAGTAGCTATTGGCTGTCCTAGAAGTCGCTAAATGACGTCATCGCCTAATTTGCATAATTGTAATGAGCGCTGTAGGAGAGATGCGGGAACAGCGGCGGCTTTGCGCATGCGCGATTCATTTGCAGTCTGGACACGGAGAGTGTGGTTTCTCCTCACGCGAGGGGCTACTGTGAGACTAACCGCCTTTGAGTGCTTTGAGGCGGCGGAGGAGCTCACGGCAGCTCCCGCGTGCCGAACGGTACGTGCTTTCACGTCAGAGTCAAAACACCAGAAAAGTCTCCAACAACACCAGAAAAAGTAGCTAGATTTGTCGCTAGTAGCTTTTGACAAAAAAAGTCGCCATGAGGGTTTGGAAAGTCGCCACGTTGGCAACACTGGTACCGCTCTGCGTGCACTGGTTGGATGAGTTGGACTTCTTCCACTCAGTGAGTCGAGCTCTCATTGGAGCAACTCAGCACACAGAACAGGTGTGAAGAAGTACAAATTAAACACCAAAGTGTGGTTTACATCTTGTGCTACCGTGTTGGGCAACATGGTCAACGTTGTGACTTGTCAATTTATCGAGAAAATAATCGAGATTATTTGTTAATAGTAAATAGAATCGTTAGCTGCTGCTCTAATTGAATCTTGAGTTTTGTAGTTGTAGAATAAAAGCTGTTATTTTCTGGGTAAAGACAGTCTGAAGGAGGGGGGGGGGGGGCTTCTAGACTTATACTCGCGGATTACCAGCAGGCCTTTCTTAAACTGGAGCTCCAGATGCTCCCTGAAAGACTTCTCAGCTAGAAGGAGAACTCAGAGAACACAAAGCCAACGAGAGGACGGACATGTTGAGCTGAAGCCTCTCTAGCGCCGTCCTTTCTGTCTGATTCTACTTTTCTCTTCCCTTTCACCCCTCCCTCATTATCGTACTCACTCACTCTGTGTTTCCCCTCACCCCTCACTTTCCTCCCACTCTGTTCATTTCTCTTCCCTCCAACGCCTCTCTCTCTCTCTCTCTCTCTCTCTCTCTCTCTCTCTCTCT